TCATTTTTTTTCATGTTTAGGAAACTTATGTAATGACTTAACCAGTTTTCCTGCAGCATGCTTTTTAGTGTGATCATATAACCTATCTTTATTGGCAATATTCAGATTTTTTTTAAATTGTGACATTTAAGAATCAATAACCGTGGAGATATAGTACAGTGCGTTACTGTGAGGTTACTATGTTAGCCGCATTGATTCCACATACCTAATTTTAAACACAACTTATAAAGGAACTGTTAAGTAATCATAACATTGAACTAACGATATGACTATCACAGCTATGTTAACGTTAAACCAATTATTATTAGTGGTCCATACAAAACCCTGGAGCTTAACACTAGCGTTATAAAAAAGACATGTTATGTCAGTAACTTATATATATATATATATATATATATATATATATATATATATATATATATATATATATATATATATATATATATATATATATATACTTTTTCTCTCGGTTTAAGTATAACGTAAAATGGAAATTACAAAACTTGTAGATTTTTTTTCTATAGTATTATTAGTAATCCAAACAAAGAACTTGTACTGTTCCAATATGGCATTTTGACATATCAATCCGTCCTCCTGTTATCTTTCTTTCATATCTGAGCAACTTATGGCCAACAAACATCGTATTGAAGGGGGTTTTGATGAACAAAAACGCGTACCTCACACGCACTCGAACCTCTGCCCTCCTGAATGCTAGACCGTATGCCTAACCATTAGACCACATCAGACCACGAGGGGGGTGACTGCAATCTTTCCTTTTACCGATTAATCATTCATAGTACTAATGAGTAATAAGACTTACACACTTCTAAGGTGCAGATAAATTCGTTAGTTGGATGAATTGACGAAATATTGCTACAATATACCATACATATTTAAATCAAACCAGAAAAGAGTATTTGACACAACTGTACTTGATCCTCATACTCTACACAATTTTCCCCTCTTTAACCGTATATTCTCTTCCGTTTCATGGAGTAAAATTATGCACCCTTGGTTACGTACCTGGTTATAAAAGGCGGTCGTCACAGTCCCAAGGTCACACATTTGAACGGGTTTGCCAATGAGTCCAACTTCTAGTGAGTTTACACTTTTACATATATACATTATAAAAAGAGTTTTTTTGTTTTCATACCTTTTCGTACACAAGATGGCTACACTATGTCTATTTTCTTCCAGAATACCAATCCGTTCTGAAGGCCAATCACTTACGTGGAACCGAACAATTATCAATTATATTTATGTATTTCCATTTTGTATCTTATTATTTTGATGCAGGCAGTGGAGCAATTCTTCAGGTTTGATTGGTTTTCACCATTATCTTTAAAGTAGATTCTTCTTTACTTTTTACTTGAGGGCGACTCAAGAGGCAGGTGAGTAAACACCTGATAGCCGGTCTGAGCATGGAAAAATCGTACCTCATCAACATGATGTTGAGTAGCTCGCTCGCGGCACTTCCTCAGATATTCTTGTTCCACAGTCTCACACTCTTTCTCTTGAATGCACGCAGCAAACCGTCAGCGATAGTTGTAGAAGAAATCACATGCTACAAAATAAGATGACAAGCTAGTAAATGAAGAGATATCCATGGACTATCGTTGACAGCTGACAGAGTTAGTAGCCACTGATTGTAAGTCAAACATTGAGCGAGTTGATAATTTTCCCTTGGGATAAGAAATAGAACTGAGGTGTTTTTGATAGATAGGTTGATCGAACCGACGTTCCTACGGAAGTCGATTCTAGGGGGAAGCTAATGTAACAGCATAGGTTGGTTGGTTAAGAGTTGACCCCAAACAACCAAGCATATACCAAAACAGTATTGTTCAAGTATTCATTCACTTCCTTATTTTGTATAAGCGTTATATACCTTATTATCTTATATTGAATGTTGAAAGCCTTTGTTTGTCTGAACAGATAATCCCACGCTCGACTGTGACTGCGCAAAGATCGAAATAAAGACCTATTCACTACTTCTCTGGTTTCTTCTATCAATAGCACGAGGGTTACCTATAGGCACGAAAAGTCCATGATTTAGAAATCACAATAAGTGATGGTTGATATATGGATACAAACAGCAAGCAAGTGGCCTACTAAGTTAAAATGGGTGAGGGTATCTCGGATAAAGTCGTCGTAACCCTCGCGGGTGTGAGATGAGTTTGAATTTAGGGATTGAATGTTCTTCATTAGCTCCGTTTTTTTATAGCTAGACTTAGTGGGAGATGTATCAAATGAGCTAGTGAAGTTGGTTGGGGAATTTACCCTAGTGCAACATGCAAAATAACGAACTAGGTGCAACCTGGAATATGAATTACCCTCAGTGGATCTCACACTGACCCATTATGTTGGTGACGTCACAAACGTCGATTACTTTCCACGCTTGGGTGAAAGTGACCATGCAGCTGTAGTTTTTGATTGTCGTATAGTTGTCAAAAACGATCATGTAACAACCCAGCTCAGACCTAACGTCTGGAGCGCAAATATGGAAGACATTATATATTCACCATCTGCAGTAAATTGGAAAATAGAGTTACAGTCTGTTATGACCTTAGATGTCTGATTTTTCTATCACACGATTTATATACCAATCCGAATACGAATTATACGAATCTTCACACTAGGCCAACCAATGACGTTCAACCGGTGTGGGCAGTTTAGCGTCCTTATTGGTCCTATGTCCTCCGAGCCCTTCCACTTGAGTCCAGAACACAATGCCAGCTTCGAATCACAGCAGATCGTTCATTTCAAACATACTCTGTTTATATATCAACCAGACAGACCACAACGTACCATAAAATAGAAAATAACATGTGTACACAAATAAATCAAAAAGTGGCTGTGAACGCGGGAGATAGTAATTAATAGACTGAACATAGATTAAGAACCGTAAATCGTATAATAATAAATTATAGGTCAAATTAAAGCTTATAATAAGAGGAATATAAATATACGTAATGCAATTGTTGAATAATTACACAATAAGAATATTTATAGAATATTAGTCTATTAACAGTCTTCGGAAGTTACCTGTAACTTAACCTTCACTGGGTTATAACAGAGTCTTTAATAGAAGCGTTTTGAGATGGACTTAGAAATTTTTACCTTAAAGTCTCTGCAACTCACGTTCTTTGGACTACACCAAGGTGTCTAGAAAATTTCCCAGAGTGGTTCATTTAGGTGGTCCGCGCTTTTTTCCATAAAAGGAGAAGAATTTGGACGAGATTTATGTCTAAATTTATGACTAAAATAACTCTAAATTTCGAGAATCTCGAAATATTTGTGCCTTAAACTCCTGCAAGTCTAGAACTTTGTACGTTTATATTTGCACGTAAATCAATGAACTAAGAGAAGTAGAAATATTCAAGGATTAAGAAGAGACAGTAGTACTTCATCATTAGTGGAGGACGACTATGGTATAGCTCAGGTACTCAGCAGTGTATATACCGTAGAGACACCCCTCCCTTCAGTTTGTACAAGCCATGCACATACACTGGACACTGTGATCATTAAAGAACTCGATATCTTTGGTCCGCTAAATAAGCTTGATATAAGGAAATCCACAGAACTCAATGAAATGCATCCTGGGTTACTAAAGAAACCAGTTAAATTTGTTGCAAACCTACGAAGTGTATGTTTCAATCTGTTTGTAACCCGGGGTCGATTACCAAAAGACTAGAAAAACCGCTCTAGTTAATCCTGTCATCAAAATAGTTACGAGACATCAATCTGAGAACTATCAACCCGCATGTCTAACTGGTGCGGTTGCTAAAATTTTCGAAAATATTTTTCTCAACAAAACACGGATTCTTTCTGAAAAGCAGCATGGCTTTAGAACAGGTCACTCTTGTCTTACCAACATCTTAGTACTTCACGAAAGTTGGTACTCTCTTAAGGACCAAAAGTTACCCGTAGATGTAGCCTAAATTGTATTCAATAAAGCTGTTGACAAAGTTCCTCTCAACTCGCTATTATATAAGTTAAGTAATATTGGGATGGAAAATAATTCATTAATGTGAACAAAAGGCTTTCTAGTTGTGCACCAACAAAGAGTACGAGTGAAATCAATGTTGTCTAACATAGTGGCTCAAGGTACAGTTTCGGGGCCAATGTTGCTTCTCTTGTATGTTAATGACCACCCTAGTTTCCTATAATCATCCGTTTTATTATATGTTGGCGATGTCAAGAATTGAAGAACGATAAGAAGTAGGGACGATAGTCTCGAGCTTAAAAATGATTCGGAGAAGTTATCTGAACGATCTCAAGTTTAACAGTTCTCGATAAATGCTCCCAAGTGCATTATGATGCATACTAGTCACAAGGTAGAAATAAATACACAATGAATAACATTGAGCTATTTGTTGTTCAGGCACACAATGTCCCAGGACTCATTGTTAGTCAATAATTAGAAACTACTGTGCACTGCCATGAGATAGCTGCCAAAGTTTTAAGAACCTACTGGTCGATACCTAGAGCCCTTAGCAATATCAGTGCTAAAAACGTTTTGGATTTGTACACAGTATTCCTGCATCCTAAATTCGAGGATTGCATAAAAGTGACCAGCCCTCTTATAGAAAGAGACAGAGAACCGCATCTCAGGATGGCAGAGCTTTTTTGAGATGTTCGATTCGCCAAACGAAACCTATTTCAAATATCACAAAAAGGAACCAGAGGGGACTTGATCATAGAATTTGAACTACCTTATGATAAATTCGCTCCTCTTCCAAAACGAGAAATTCACGAGGACACTTTAAAAATGTTCACAAGCCCAGAATAAATTACTTATCAGCTGACTGTTGCCTCGTTGCCTCAATACGTGTTTGAAGCTCCATCAGTTGACTCTTTTAGGTGATATTTAAATCGATCAAGAGACCACTGTTGCCATGACCAACACAAGCTACCCAGCCACTTGTTCTTTTAGACACGGAATTGTTTGAATACGTCAAATCGTTGACCTTATGTGGTTTCATAATTCAAAAATTGTCGTTCCTATGGTTACCGCTTCAGCGAGTATTCCAAAGAAGACTTCGTCAGACAAGCTGAAGGATTTGCTTTCAAAAGACATAAAAAGATCGGATGATATTAGAGGTTTGTAATTTCAGAAATTAATTAAGGTTATGAATAATTTTTAACGTTTCTATTGTATGTCCAATGTTAAATTATCCATAGCCGAATACTTTCAACCACACTATCAAAGTACACTCTGGGACTTAAGAAGCATTAGATTATCTATCAGATTAATTGGTTATATTATGAATCGTGTAATAAATCAAGTTCCCTTTTTTCATTAAAAAAACTGACAAAATTTTCGAAGACTGATAATAATAGGATATCATGATGCTATTTTTTATCGCTAGTTCGCTACTTATATTCAATCAATGTTACTGGGGCACAAAAGTCTTATAACTTGTACGACAAAATATTCGATAATCAATGACCCAACTGCAGGATTATTCGGCTAGAGCTCTGTTGAATTTCACTGGCGCTACATGCCCGTTCGACTCCGGTATAATCGAACAATTATAATGTTCATGAAATGTAGATCCTACTTACTTGTTCCATATTCTATCGCCTTCATAGGCTTAGAGCAACGAAATATCAAAAGCCGAGCACGAGAGTGATTCTGAACGGATATATTTCGAACATCTATCGATACAGACAGACGATAAGTGATGTGAATCAGAGAAGGAGACCAGGTCTACTCAATGAATTATGGGTAACTCACCCTTTATACGGAAAGTGTTAACGTATGAATTTCCGACAGCCAATTAGAGTGAGAATGACAGACATACATAAAGCAAACACATGTTAAAGCGTATATGATACAATTATCAAGATCACAAATGACAATGTTTAAAGGTAGTTCATAAAGTGTATAATTGGATTAAAATGACAAGAACGATTACCAAGACGATGCGATAAGGGCCGCTGTAGATTTTTAACAAAAGCCTATTTAATTATGAGTTTCTTGTGACTTCTCGTCAACCTGAGGTTTTATACTCTATAAAAAGCAAAGTATTATAATAAATCAACACCAGTCATGATTTAAGACTAATATGTAACATGTAGTGATATTTTAATCCCACAAAGAATCAAGTAAAGATTGTCCATTACTGTAAGATCTCAAAAATAAACATGTAAATATGAGCCGCTAGATGCTCGTCAGCAAAGTCTGCTGACCGAGATGCCACGAGTAATTGTAATGTATCCATTTTTATGACTTTTCATAAGTAAACTTTAGTAAATCTCTAAGGGATTCACGTTCAGATTTAATAGTTCCCAACGTTAATATTTTTATTCTTTCAGGAAATGTGAAATACGTTGACATTCAATTACTCGAATCAACTGTTAATCATCGGGGTGTACCTTTAGTCAAGCCAACTTATCATCAAAGAATATCTTGTAATACGCTGATGGTAGGTAAGCAAATTACCATGCAAAATAATCAATTAAAAATCTAATATATCTCAAGTTATGTGCCACATTCTGTTTATTTTTATGACAATGACGTTTTGGTTATTAGACAAATTTATTTTTGAGTCGTTAACATTCATTCTCAGTTCTCTGATCAAAGTGTATTTTTATCGAAAGGAATAGACAAGTGGAGATATCAGTTTGAATTCTTCTCCGTTGATTTGCTTGAGTTCGTGGTTTTTTTGATGAAGATGACTACGTTGCTTATTTATCCCCAGCTTTTCAGTGAATTTATGCTTTAGGCTCACTTACATCTGTTCTTTTTCATATATCTGATTGGTTAAAAATTCGGTAATTTGGAAAAAGATAACAATTTTCGTGATTCAGAAATGTGGTAATCAACATTTTATTAATAACTGTTGCATCATACTACTATTTTGATGAAGCAAATAGCAGCAAAAAAGCCTGGGGCATAAAGGGCAAATAGTATCAGTGCTAAGGAGTTCATAATTTTTCCATTTTTGTTAATAAACAAAACTGAAATCACATAGGCTTTTTTTCTAATCCGCATTTCCTCGTAAATCTTCTTGTCTCAGTTTTCTGATTTCTCTGGATTTTGATTTTATCTTTATTAAATACCAAAGTTTACACTGCATTGCTTCCTCTTTTTTGAGTTCTGTAATTTGAACTTTATTATCGGAAGGTTATGTGTCATCTGCCTTATTGACTTCGCGATTGATTGCGATCGTATTAAAATAACTTTGATCGTTCATAATTAGCGGTCACCATAGTCTAAATTGAATAAACTGGGAGATTTACCGACTGGATATTCAATATCTATGTAGTTGTCTGAAGATATCATTTAAAAAGATTATTTAAAGCATATCCTTTTTCACGGGATATGAAATGTTAAAACACAACAAAAATACTAAACTTACCCATTGCCTTTTTATGACTGAGTTTTGAATGAGTTCAAAGAGGGTCTTTTGCATTTTCCCTTACTTAATTTTTCCTTACGCCTGTTACTCCTAATGGAGCATAGGCCGCTGACCAGCATTCTCCAACCCATTCTGTCCTGGACCTTCTTTTCTAATTCCATCCAATTCTTGTTCATTTTTCTCATGTCTATCTCCATTTCTCAGCGTAATATGTTATTTGGACTTCCTCTCCTCCTTTAGCCTTGAGAATTCCATGTGAGGGCTTGTCTTGTGACGCAGTTGGGTGCTTTCCTCAATGTGTGTCCTATCCACTTCCAGCGCATCTTCCTGATTTCTTCCTCCGCTGGGATCTGGTTTGTTCTCTCCCACAGTACGTTGTTGCTAATAGTGTCCGGCCAACGGATCTGAAGTACTTTGCATAGACAACTGTTAATAAACATCTGCATCTTCTGGATGATGGCTTTCGTAGTTCTCCAGGTTTCCGCCCCATACAGTAGAACTGTCTTGACATTTGTATTGAAAATCCTGACCTTGGTGTTGGTTGACAGTTGCTTTGAGTTCCAGATGTTCCTCAGTTGTAAATATGCTGCCCTTACTTTGCTGATCCGCGCCTTCACATTTGCATCAGATTCACCGTGTTCATCAATAATGCTGCCCAGATATGTAAAGGTTTTTACATCTTCCAGATCTTCTCCGTCAATTGTGATTGGATTGGTGCATGCTGTGTTGTATCGGAGAACCTTGCTCTTCTCTTTGTGTATATTAAGACCTATTACTGCTGAGGCTGCTGCTACACTGTTCGTCTTCTCCTGCATTTGTTGTTGCGTTTGGGATAGAAGGGCCAGATCATCTGCGAAGTCCAGATCGTCCAACTGCATCCTAGATGTCCATTGTATCCCGTGTTTCCATTCAGATGTTGACGTCTTCATGATCCAGTCGATCACCAGGATTTGCATTTTCCCTACCAAGACACTATTTTCATTCAGCAAGACTGTTAGATAAATGCTTCAAACTAGTCAGTCAATTACCAGAGACTTTGGAATTCTGGGTTAGACTTTCAGTTAGTTAGAAATTTGAAATGAAATAAATTCAAAAGATTGTCCGAAATTGCTTTATCTGAATTCAGTTTTACAACAAAATAATCTTAAAACCTCTGAAATCGGAGAGATAGAATGAACATTTTTTGTTAGTTTAAATTTACTTATTTAACGAAGTTTGGGTGCTGAAGTTATTACAAAAATCATGTAGAAAATGATTGTTCCTTTTTAATAATCAGATGGATTTCAAGCAAACAAATTAAAACGCCCTACAAATCGCTATTTAAGTACAAACGTAAGTAATTACGAACAAATACCTACACAATGGAATCGTTTTGTTGAATCATCATTATCATACACACAGAAAAATAAAAACAGCGAACAAGTGAATGAAGATGTGAATAAGACACTGAATCATCATCGTCATCATAACTATCAACAACAACTTCAGCGACAAAAATTAAATGTATATTCACTACCACGATCATCATTATCTTCATCTTCATCTTCTTCATTTTCATCGTTTACACTAAAAGGATTTAAAGATTCAATAAAACTAAGAAATACAACAACAAAATTACCTAGTACTAATTTATGCTCAAAAGATACATTGATGAAAAATGATGAAAAAAACAATAATAAAACATCCAAAAATAACAAGGACTTATTTAATACTGAAAAACTTCTATCAACTGAAATGTCTAACGTTTTCATGGATTATGATCGTGTCAAAAAACAAACGATCCTATGTTATGAACAGTAAGTAATGATTTGGTTGATCTAATATCTTGATCATTGTTTTTTTTATGATTCATAGATAGAACAGCAAACTATGAGAAGTCAACTTTATTTGGAGAATCTGATTAAGATGGGAAAAAGTTATTTCTTGTCACTCAATAAGATATATAGTGAACCAACAGGTTGATTTATTGTAGTCTCAGAATACTCCAACAAATCACTCTCATGTAAATTAAAAACATAATCCTTACGTATCTTAACGAGTAAATTGCTGTTGAGTTGAACCCTTGCAATTCATTTGTAGATACTTTTATAGTTTATCTAATGAATGGATACAGTGCAATAATTTCTTAATTTTACTGGTACATTTCTGATAGGTTTACCGATTTGGATATTTCTAAAGATAATGACCATTTTAAATTCGTAGCTGTTTTTAGATTACGATACTTTGTAAGTAATTTAACGTTACTAAAATTTAAGATAAGTTCCAATCACATCTTTTAGTTTCATTTTTGTTTTTTTGGAAGTTATCTATTACTTTGGAGATGCTTTTTTAATGACATAACACAAAATTTACTAAACGTCTGGTAAATCTGAACTTATTAGTTTCATAAGGATAACCAATACTTTAATTCAACTCATCAGTATAACTGAGTTGTCTTGAATATGAAGGACAGTTAGAAAATGACTCAATTAATAATCAGGTCAAGTTAATGGTATTGTGCAACATTTATATTTATCTATTGAAGACATATTTGCAAGCCTTTGATATAAACATAGATTCATGTAAACATTCCATTAATTTGGTGGTTTCTCCAGTCACCCGACCGTTGTTGCTACCTTGACGTGGTGGTCGGGCCTGCCTATCGTGATGAAGCAACCGAGCTATACTTGCTGGAACAACCGTTCCTCAGGGTCCTACCATGTCAGACAGGTCGGTTGAAGAGCGGTAAGACTAAAAGCAACAAACCCAAGGTCCGAAGGCGAAGTCGTACTGCTGACTGTACAGAGGTGTGACAGCAGTAAGGTGTTTCCTTCAGACAACCAGCATGATAGCGATGCTGCCTTCCCACAAGGAGGGGTGGGATTAGAAAAGGTCGACCCTAAAAATGCACACCTCGCCTTATCCCACGGATATCCGTCTCTGGCGGTAAGATCTCAATAAGTACGGAGCTAACACAACAATTACCCATAAAAAGGTCGTGTGTGACCGACCTCAAGCAGTTGTCCCTTGGGCACTGCGGTCACACTCTTAGATCACTAAGACCACCTCGAATCCAATTCCCTTTTCAGGTCGGTGGTTTCCCCACAAATGAATGATACCTTAAATTTACGTGTGACCATTTAGATTTAATTCAACTATACGTTTCTTAATCAGTAACTTTTTTCCCCAAAGATATTGAACGAGCTGTAACGAAACAGTAACCAGTTTTTAAGATATGATTGAAATAACTATTAAAAGTTAGGGAACTCAAATAACTGTTTTTAACTTGGTAGTAGTTACTAATTTAAAAGTCTAACCTAAGAATAAAATACTTGTAAGTAAATCTTAGACTTTAAAAATCTCATTAGTTGAAATTTTTAAATTGCATGATTGAACCGTGAATGTATGTGCGTGCATATACGCTTGTTTGCACTTTTGGACCGAAAGTATTGGTTTCTAACGTATAGATAAATCACTGTTACAGAAAGAATCATTATCCGAGTTACATATATTCCTACTTATAATCCTATTGTGTTATAAATGTCATTATTCAATCCCTCTAATGTCGTTATTTAATTATTTCTCATTTCTTTCCTTCTTTTCATAGAATGAATCTAAAAAGTTGTCCAAAAATTGATTCAAATCAAATATACCGCTTTTTAAGTCTTCAATCCAATCAAATTTATCGAATTGAACATTTACAACATTTAACAAAACTTGTTTATTTAAATATTTCTGAAAATCAACTCACAACAATGAATGGTCTTGAAACATTATATTCTTTACGTATATTATTATTAGGAAAAAATCAAATTAAACAAATTTGTTCATTAGAAAATTTATATAATTTAAATATACTTGATTTAAATCATAATCAAATAAAAATCATTGAAAATTTAACACATTTAACAAAATTAAATTATTTAAATTTATCATTTAATTATATTACATCAGTAAATGGTTTATCTGGATTAATTTCATTAAATGAATTAAATTTAAGACATAATCATATACAATCTATTGAATCAATTGAAAATGTTCCAAAATTAATTTGGATATTTTTAAGTTTTAATCATATTGAAAGGTAAATTTCTATAATTATTCTTCGTAATAATAATTACTTATACATTTTAGTAATCATTTTAAATAACAATAAAATATTAACTATCAGAAGGGGTTTTGTGAAGATTTTAATAACTTGAATAGTTGAAATCATGAATCAATTGTAGCTAAACCATCATGGGAAACCTTGAAGCACTGGACAGCCGTTTCGTCTATGATCCCGACCCCCCGTGAGATTCGAAACTGGAACCTATCAATCTTGTGCTCGAGTGCTTAACCATTAGACCACTGAGCCGGCCGGCATCCAACGGTGTTAATGTCTAACTTTAACTAATGCTTACAGGTTTTCCAAGGTGGTCTAGCTTCAATTGGTTCATGAATTTAACTATTGAAAGTATTTACTGTTAAATAGATATTACATATTACAAAACTGTTGATTAAATGTTTAATCTTACTAACAGTGTTATAATCTCTTCTTACGGTTATGACCCAGCTATTCCTATTGCTTAGTATTCTCGGACACCGATTCACTCGACAAGTCCCCGAATCAGAACACGGTTGAACAGGAAAAGAGATTATATTCCAAATAACAAGGTTAGATGGAAGCAAGAAGCCAGTAAGAAGCACAATAGGGAAAAAGGTCAGTATATTTATAGTTTTTACATGAGATTCTAAAGTATTCTCCAACTATCGACTAGTGCTGATTGGCTAATTCTTATCCAATCAGCGTGCACCAAAGTAATCGTGCATTGAGCTTGCTTTAATCCAGTCTATGTTCCGCTAACAAACAGATTACAATTTCACTAAGGCAATATATATTAGAAGGGATATTGTGGAGATTGTAGTAATTCCAATAGTTGAGATCATGAGTCAATTGAAGCTAGACCATCATAGAAAAACGGGAAGAACTAGACGGCCGTTTCGTTCTATTGTAGGGTGATGGATGTGCACTGCTGAGGACTCCCATAGTAGGACGAAACAGCCGCCTAGTGCTTTCAGATTTTTCATGGTGATCTAGCTTCAATTAATTCATGACCTCAACTATCAATATATATTTATAATTAATATCTAAACTATCAGTTTGAAATTTGATGTAATAACTTTAAATATACACATTTCTATTATATATTTGATCATTTATAAACTGATACAACAAAAATAAAATGGAATAACAGTGATTCATTGAAGTCCAATGATTGGTCCAACAATATGTTGATGAAACCCTTTCCTTTGAATATCCTTAAACTATTTCCTAATTTCTTCTACTGTATTTTGCATACACTCAACATTCGTCCATTGATTCCTACGTAACTACTATAATACTGACCTTTCATCAAAATAGTTTGTTAGTTCCTGTTGATATATAGTTAAGTTTCTTATTAATTTACTGAAAGATAGGCCTTACTCATCCAACAATCAGTTTGTTCATGTAATCAAATGAATACTATATGAAACTGTCTATTTATTGTACGTGAGTCTGCTAATATTACATATGGTGCAACTTATGACACTTTTCCTCTATTTGATTTCAGTTGGTCACAGATTAGTGGTTTAGCCAATTTAAATTTATTTGCTCAAGTTACTCTGGATGGAAATCCCATTGTATCTGATCCAACTTATCAGAAGATGATATCAAATGATAAAAGATTTTTTAAAGACAATACAGCTGTTTATTCATTAAAAGTAAGTTTTTACTAATTGTGCTAATCAATGATTTCGTGTTTTATCTGAACAAAGGCTAGTTTACCACAATGTGTAGATTACTTCTTGAATGTAGGCTGACTTGTTACCTGAGTTGTAAGAAATTAATCTTTAAAAGAGTTTACAGCTTGTAATATTCGTCCCACGTACGTTCAATGAAAAATCATCATTTTTGTAAACATTCTATATCTGTATTAAATACTTCTTGTAACTCAACCTGCACGCTATCATACTTTTTGTATTGTCGTAAAACATATATATATGTCGATTCTAAGCATCTCGAGGACTAAATAAAAACTTTTTAACGTAGTTCTTAGTAAGCTTCAAGCTATCTATCATGATGTTTTAAATTTCGTTCGAATATTCAAGAGCACCTATCGATTGGTTAGTCAGCAAAGTATGGTTTCCTCAGTCGTTGTTCTATGCGTTTTTAAACTGATTCAATATTTATTTCCATCATATAATGAGTATAGTACGTTTCAAATTATTTTAGCAAGCATAGTTTAAATAAACTTTTCAGAATAAGATATAATCATGTCTATTTCCATGGCCTTTTACCAATCGTAACAATCTGATCAGACATTGATTTACTATGATGTTGATATGCAAAAGAAAAGGTTAAGGTGAATAAATGAGGGCACAGGATCACCGAAATCAGTAAAGAGAACACAAACCACAAAACTCTGGACGTTAGATTTAAAATATCACCAGGATAGGTTTAGAGTACAAAGTGTTCTTGAGTAATCAAAAACAGTTTGAATCTTCGAATCGCTAGTCTCAATAGAGAGCTGTATTTTCCCTAATGTATTGTAATACAACACTACAAATGACTGATTTGAAACCAACTTTAGGGCCCATTTCAACTAAACGTTTGACAATGGATAAAGATATTTATTTATCATGTGTTCTTATTAAAGCATTGGATTCCGTTTATTTTTAGCGTGTCGGATACCTGTCCAACCACGTTTAAATGTAGGTCACAATTACGCCTCCACATATTTTTGTCCACATTTACATGTAAACTGGAAAACATAGTAGGATCTAACTTTAGTTTACATGTTTTTTTTTAGTTTTTAGTTAACCATGAAAATTGCCTTTTCAATACGGATGAGTTTGGTTGATTAAAATTTAGGTCTTTGTCTCAGATCAAGGTTACCCGATTCAGTTCCGAGTTGTAAAATGATGAAGATATACCTTTTTGAGTGTCGAAAATGTAGTAGGTATCGGAACAATGCTGCCTTCTCATTGATTTTTGAACTCTAATGAATATTCACTTTGCATCAGTTTTTCCGTTAAAAACTCTGCTTCACCTTCAATACTTAAGTTGTGCAAATACGATTAATTATATTGAGTAAATCGTTTAACAACCCTTGGTTGTTATTGATCTGAAAAATATCTAGGAAAATTGAGACATTTCCTTGTCCTTGTAAGTTTTATCTATATGTATCATGTAAGTGAACTATCTTTTGTGTTAACACATATATCTAAGATGGGAAGTAAATTGCTCATCATCTCCTCACATGAGAGACCGATATCTTTTTGAAGTATAATAATTATTCAATGGAATATAGAATACGACATCGAAATACATTAAGTACATTAATGTAACCGAATTTCAGTCAATTAGTCATTGATTGAAACGTTAATATCTACAAACTTAGTACAATTGATAAATAAATATAGAAAAAAAGGTATACGCTATAACTTGATGTATAAGTTTGTGTATAATGATGGAATACTATACAAAATTATCTTCTTTTATCAATCGATAGATCTGACAGTCAGAAAAATTTACCACTTGTAAACATTCACTATGTCGAGAGAGATCACTAACAGATATATAAAGTAACGTCATCAGGAAAAGATTTATTATGATAATGTAGTAGAATGTCTTTGTCAAAGGCTTTAGTAGATCAACAAATTTTGAAACATTTAGTCCTTTTCTCATAAGTTTAAAAAATGTAATGGGAATATGGAGTTTGTAATTGTACCTTAGCATTCTGTTTAAAGCATCATCTCAGCGAATGACTATGGAGTAAATCAAAAGTTACTCAAGTTTTTCAACGCAATATAATCAAACATAAACATTATCGACTATTAATAAATGCATGATTATATTTCCTTGAAAAAGCTTGCACCAGATTACTGGGTAATATATCGGATTTACTTCACATTCATTCACTGAGAGTCTATAAATATGTTCTTCCTCCTTAATATCTCACATCAATTCGGTGCCCAAATACTGTGAAACTATTCAATCAAATTTAGACAAAAGTTCTTATAAAATAGATTATTGTTAATATTTTTGTTTATCTATGGATATTTTGAAGGCAGTTCACTCGATTAACACAGGTTCATCAACCTACTATCCTTATTACTGAAGACTGATTTCTTTATACCAATTTTTTTTCTTTGAAAGCCTAATCCTAGTGAATCAATCAACAAAATGAATATGAATGAACAATGTTTACTCAAAAGAAATGTACCAATTTCATTTTTATTAGATGAACAACAACTGATGACAACTAGAAAAACAAATATTATTCACGGACTGTTGAATTATTTCAAAGAAAATGAACAGCATAATAGTATGCATCGGGAGAATTCTATTGATAAGTTAGTTATGGATTTGATGAATATTTGAGTGAAAAATTGTTTTCATTAACTTCATTATCAGGCTCTATGGTCCATAATTATGATATTTTACAAGGGCCAAAACAAGGCATCCACTAATGAATTTGACCATGTTATATGATAATAATGGTGAACGTTTGTATCCATTACGACATAAATACTTCAAAATTGTGTTGTTTGTAAATTAGAAAGGTCATTTAATAAAGATCAGAATGATTTGGAGTAAAGTGTCAAATCACAATCAGTATAATAGTAGCATTACAAAGTGAATATAAAAAGAATTGTGTAGATAAAATGCATAGCAGTAGGAGAGTCTCGTCTTGTTGATCGAGATAGTAACGATAATAATAATACCAGAATGGGGGGTTTTGGAGATTATAATAACTTTAATAGTTGAATTCATGAGTCGATCTAAGCTAGACCATCATTAGAAACTTGGAAGCACTTAATGGGTGTTTCTTCCTATTTGAGACCCCTTAGCAGTACGTTGTGATCAGTGGAGTTCAATCCGTGTCAGATAGAGATGAGTATCTTCCTCAGACAATGGATGAATGGTTGCACAAGATCACAGATCGATTGAAATTAAACATTAACACTATTGGATGCCAACTCAGTGGTCTAGAGGTTAAGCGTTCGTGCACGAGCTCGAAGGTCCTGGCTTTGAGTACCACATGCGGGGTCGTGGATGCGCACTGCTGTAGATTTTCATACTAGGACGAAACGGCCATCCAGTGTTTACAGGTTTCCAATGGTGGTCTACCTTAGATCGACCCATGGAGTTCACCATGGGTGTTAAAGCGATATCAGGTTTGTGAAGTTTCTATAGCCCATGGGAACGTGGTGTGGTGTTAGATTCAAGGCACAAGCAGACGACAATAAAAGGCTGCAACGCATCAAAGTTTATCAGAGTTTCAATTCTTACTGAATTATATACCTTCGTTCCCAACTCCAACGAAAGAGAGATTAGTTATCTAAATACAGAAAATTCTATGAAATTTGAAAGTTATCTAGTAGAGCGATTTGAAAAGTCCTTTATTGTCTTGGGTTTCTATTTAATAAAATTCAATGAGTAGATTGTTAAAATAATTGCCTTTCAATATAGAACAACTACTGTATATTGTTACCCTGCCTTTTGTTTTAATAACTGTAGTCATGAAATCTGAGTGAACATGAACTAAATGTGATGAATACTTCCTTACATCTTAATCCTTTGCTTGATGATATCAATTCATCAGAGTAAATTGCTCTTATAATTAATTATTATTAGAAAAGAGGTTTTGTAGAGATTGTAGTAATTTAAGTTGGATTCATGAGTCAATGAAAGCTAGACCACCACGGAGAACCTGGATGCACTGAACGGCTAATTCATCCTAGTATAGGACTTCACAGCACTACATGGCCACGATCCCACACGTGGTACTCGGAACCAGGACCTTCGAGTTCGTGCACAAACGCTTAACCTCTAGACCACTGAGCTGACATCCAACAGTATTAATGTCTAACTCCAATCAATTCACAAAATTGCTCTACTCTTCACCATTGTCTTCAGTGAGTTACTACCTCACAACAGACACGGTTGAACTCCACTGGTCACTGTTTCTCACTAGAACTCCAGGAAACACCTCTTGAGGTCAGTCACCATTAAGCACATAATGATTATTATAAGAAGGAGGGTTTGTGAAGGTTTTAGTAATTTAATAGTTCAATTCATAAATCGATAAAATCTAGATCACCAGGTTTTCCATGATGGTGTAGTTTTCATCGACTCATAAATTTAACTATTAAATTAACTAATAATTTAAACAACTAGTTGAAATTCATGCATAACAAGCCATTTGGCTTGTAAAATATAAAAAAGCGACAATTTGAGTACAATAACATAGATTTATCTTATTTCATTATATCCGTAATTTGTTGTTGTTATTATAATCTGTAGTATTTTAAAATCAAAATTTCACAAGCTAATAGAAATGAAGTAGATTGAAATTTAACATTGAAATAATATCAACATTATATAGTAAACTTTCAAAAACAGATGAAAAGATTAACGTAAACAATACCAAGTGAATTTAAACTTCACCGAATTGCACAAGCAACTGGCTATCAGGACTCGGTAGCTAAGTGGATAACGTGATGGCGTTTGAAGCGAACGGTACTGGGTCCGAGTTCCAGAATGAACATCAACTCTGAAGTGTAGGTAAATTCAGCTGGCGAATCCCAAATGGCAGAAAACGCGCGTCCTGGATTCCACTGCTAGACACTAACCATCTTTGCTTATAGAGATGAAAAGAGTTAATCGAATGTTGGAAATATTTATATAATTCAATATAAGTTTCCAGGAAGTTGATTACTGGTTAGCGTGTTTTAGCGAGTTGGTTTTCTACGGGATGGGGTTGCTAACCCCATGCCCAACCCTCCTCCTTTATCCGGGCTTAGGACCGGCAGTGGCCGCCGGAGGGACTTCAGGCGGAGTTAGGAAGCTGATTAGGATAGTAGTAAAAGAGTATCGAGTTAAACTTCAAAAGATAATAATATGATGATATAACAGAATATAAGTTAACAACCATTGAGAATTATATGAACTAAGCTCAGTTAAAAACGAGATTATGAACTAGGTTAAATGATATGATTATGTTGTAAAATATAAGATAATACTGACTTTCTGCTCTACTTATGTGTTCATTTAACTCACACTTAATATTCATAAAATCCAGAATCACAAACCTATCAGCCTTCTTATTTATATAAGGTAAAACTGATTACTTCCTAGTGATCAATTAATGCAAGTCTGTCGTTATTTTTTCTGAATTGCACTATATGCAAATATTCATCTGATTTAAATATATTGTCAAATTGTCAAAAGTACTTTAAGCATGGTTACTGATCCTATCACAATTGCCCCATCCCAACTGGAAAATGTTAACTCATCGTTTAGTAGGTTACTTTTTGATGTTATATTTATTCCCCAATATTAATAATTCTGCCCAGTGTATTGTGGTGTATAATCGATGTATTCTTTGATATTGCTATAAGAAGATAAAGTTAACGCTGAAAACGCGAAATATTGACCATTAAGTTTCGAGCTAATTTGATAGACATTTACCTATCAAAGCAGATCATATGCAAACAAAAACATCTCCTACTTTACATCATAGGATGACCTCAATAGGACGACCCTTGAAAATCAGAAAGCACAGAACACTTATTTTGTCCTAGTATAAAAGTTCAAAACAGTACACATCAATGGATCCGAGACAGCTACCCACCACACATCCACAACACAACCGAAGATAGAACTGAAAACACCAAGGTTCCCTGGTGAGCACTCAAACTTTAGACTATTGATTCGATATCCAATAGTCTACATGTCTAACTTCAATCAATTAGCAATATTACTCAGTCATTTTCTAAAGTCATCGGTAGGTATACACCCAAGATGAGTGAACGCAGATTTCCTTGAAGTCCCAAAATAGGATAAATAACTGTCCATTTCTTCCTGATTTTCAATGATTGTCTAATTGTGGTCAGTCCGTAATGCAAACTATAAAATTCATTAGTTTTAAGAAATCCTCTGTACCGAAAAACACGTTGCTGCATGATTTACGAGAAACATGAAGCCTAAAGTAGATATTGACATAATAATAACCAAGACAACAACAAAAGCTTCTGAATAGAGCACCCAGCTGAAATAAACATGAGACTGTCACAAATACAAACGTACAGTATAAATTCTTATGTGCACATTGGTTTCTTCATCCCAGTCGAAAAACAAAAATCAATCTGTTAATCATAAATGTTTTCCTAAATTTCATACACATAGTTCCCTTTATCATTTATGTAATTAATATAATACAACTCGTATTCTATCCACTTTGTTTATGGTTCCGTTTTATTTTTCTCAGTTCTATAAATTCATCCACCGAGAATCTTACAGAATTAATAAAACAAAATGATTCAACACTATCTCGAAATGAACAGAATTTAACATATTTCTCAAATAACTTATCTAATCTAAGTCAATCAAATTTATCATTATTGTCAACCCCTTCGAATCTACAATATTTTTCTTCTACATCAACAGTAAATCAAATAAAGGAGAGTGAAAACAACTGGACAGAAGAAATCACAAATATCAATGTTGAGATAAACAGTAATGATAATAATAGTAATAATATAGTTGGTTACAGTTCGATTGGAACATTGACAGATGAAAGTATTCTATTTCCTTTAATTTCATCAAAAAGAAATAATTTATTAAAATTTACATATTATCTGAAAGGATTAACTCATTTAGTCTTAGAAGGAATTTTCTCTAAAACAGTATTTAAAGTAGTTGATGATAATAATAACGATAACAATAATTATGTGTATAAACTATCAAATGTTATTGAAAACGACAATAAATTTGAGAAACAAACAAACGAATCAACAGAACATTCAATTAATTTTGATTGTTTTTCTTCAATGGTCAATCATTTACAATGTATCCAATCAAATAATAATAATATTGATAATAATAATAATAATAATAATAATAATAATAATAATAATCTCATTATATCTAGAGATGACGATGAGGATGATGATGACACTGATAGAAAAGAAGGCAATGATTCATTAAAATTGTTAAACTTCAATCGTATTGTGAAGTTAACTATTAGAAATGTGAATTGGAATGAATTTGTAATTTGTATACGTAAATTACATGAATTACTACCACAATTAAAGGTAATCAATTGTCTGTTATTATGTAACTTAGTAGTTTACACTAATTACTAACTAAATAAAATAAATTACTATGTGAGTAAAAGAGTATAGGTGATAACAGGGTTATGTAACTTTACAATGTATAAAATAAGATAGGGATTATTTGCTGTACAGTAAAGTTGACTGTTTTATGAAAATAATTTCTATCTACATAATATTATATGATAGTTAGTCATATCTAGACTTATAACTATGAATATATGGTCAGTTCCACTATGTTCGCAATAAAATGCCATAGTATATATGTTTGGATCATTAATTTACAACTCTGTAGCTTCCAAATGACCTGGTACGGTCGAGGGTGGGAGAGTCCGTTCTACCTCTCAGAATGTTCTCACATGGCTACACGTATACAACCACTCCCGGGGAAGTTCTACTCGCGGTATAGATGTTGCTTACGAAATTAAGAGGACTAAAAGCGAATGTCTGACACCTTGACAGGGTTGACGAGTTTCGGATAATCCACCTCGGGAAGTTAGAAAACCTTAATTCCAAACCAATAGTGTAAATGGGCTCCATGATCCTGAGGGAACAAATTGCGTATGCACCTAATGTTAGTCACCGGCTACCATGGGACTGCATCTCCTGACGTTGCTCCATTGTCTTGTGGATTAGACCTCTAGGTCAAAGGCTTGGGGAGTGTCCTCGTGAAAAAACCACCTGCTTCTGTTTGGGCACCCGGACAGTATACCCTCACTCAAATCGAATGACCAAGTGTGGTGCACTTACATTTGGCGCACCCTTGTACCAATGTTTATGTGTTTAAATAAACAAATAACTGTAGATATTGTGATCTTTGAGCCTTCATCGTTCTTCCAAATAACGTCATCAGTACGTACTGCAAAGAGTACAGACTGGTGATGTTCAGGGTGACGAAATATTGGATAAGGTATTGGAACCTTATCAAACGAGGTAGTTGAAATTCATATCACTGGCTTGTGGTTGAGATACACAAGAGACTATAGTATCGTCAAGAGTAGGGTACAACTGAATCACTGAATCCAATGATCCCCATTTGTTTCAAAATAAAGTTCTAGAACTTCTTGTGGGAAGATGTGACTCTCCAATAAGGCAATAACTCATAGATAACATTGAATGAGAATTGCACTATACCACAAATGAACTGATGTTATAAATATGGATGACTGAATTCCAATTTAACAAGCTAATAGTTTTCTATATCCACGAGATCTAAATTTCTTGACTCCAGCAATTTGTACTTCAAGAGTAGGATCTGACAAAAGGTCGAAAACACTTGGTAATGTATTTTCTGAACTGAGTAGCTTGACTGTGAAACATTTACTTTATTTCTCAGTAATATTATCAACTTAAAATACAAATCGTTTCCATTAATTCAAAATCTCTAACTAGAATAAAATGGTACTCCAGGATTCTTTCATTTATTCAATGTTTATTCAGATAAATTCGATTTATGATGAAGATTACCTTCAGAGGAAACAATTATTCTTTTCTACAACTATCAGTAGGGGTTTTGTGGAGATTTTAGAAATTTCACTGATTGAAATCATGAGTCAATTGAAGCTAGACCACCATGGAAAACCTGGAAGCACTGGACAGCCGTTTCGCCCTAGTACGGGACTCCTCAGCAGTGCGCATTCACGATCATGCACCTCGTGTATGCGCACTGCTGAGGAGTCCCGTACTAGAGCGAAACGGTTGTCCAGTGCTTCCAGGTTTTCAATGGTGGTCTAGCTTCAGTTGACTGATGATTTCAATCAGTGAAATTTCTACAATTATTGTGAATATCAGTTTTTTTCAAATGGAGTTTTTTTCTCTATCATGCCTATATAACAGGAATTAAATCTTGAAAATAATGGACTTAAATATTTGCATCAAATTACTGATCTAATTGATTTTGAATATTTAACTGCATTACATATAACTGGTTCAAATACTAATCCAATTGTTGAACAAGCTGGTCAATTGTGGCGTCCATTTATTATATGGAGTCTTACTGATTCATTAAATTTAACATTTTTAGACGGTCAACTTGTAAGTAATTCAAATATTCTATAAATAATATTGGTTCGTTTTAATTATATAGCATGTTGTATATATTCAGAAAAGATTACCGTAAACTACATATTATAGGAATTTCAATGACTGAGATCATGAGTCAATTGAAGCTAGATCACCATGGAAAACCTGGTTGTCCAGTGATTCTAGGTTATCCATGATGGTCTAGATTCAATAGATTCATGATCTCAACCATTGAAATTAATTGATTAATTAAACTGTAGTGTCAGTTACTATGTTAAGCCCATAAACCTTATTCTAACTTTCGAACAGGCAAATCTATTCATTCTACGTGAGTCACATTATGACCTTGTTAATTATTCACTTATCAACCTTGACTGTTTTTATGTAAGCGTATGTGTGTACGCTTCTTATCGTACTCACCACATGTCTGTAGCTTATTTTTGTGTGACTATAAATATTGATTAACGCTTGATTAAATGAAGTTGGTTCACATGTTTTCTTCACCGCGCATCGTTTCGCTTCTCTCTCTTCTCTTCGCTCTGCTCCATTCCCTGATCTCCTGTTCAAATCAATGAGTGGATGAAATCTACTCATTCAAAATCCATTCTCGTATTTCGCTTATTTAATTCCATTATTCACGAATGCGATCTAAGTCAACTATTATATACGAGAATAGTCAGGATATATATTCCGACAGCAAACAATCATACGATGTAATTGGAATCAGATCCCGGGTCACTGAAAAAAAGCTATAATATAATACCATAACAGAGTGAACTTTTAAGTAATACGTTTTATTCCTGAATCAAAAAGGTTTTTATTCTTTACAATCAATTAGTACAAACTATACAAAATGCTTATATTGAATTCTAATAACAATAATTACCATTGAGCACTGACAGAAACGCATTACTTTATTTAAAATGCTGAATTTATTCTATTATAAGAACATTTTGTATTAATTAATCTAGCTTAATTAGTATAAAGTGAATACTCTATCTATACGAAATTAACTAGAGTTCTACAACTAGTTAACAATGACTAATATTTGTCATCACCATTCGATGAATTGATATACAACTAAAAATGACTCAATGATGATGTATTGCTCTGAAGAGTGTTATATTAGGACAAAATAACTATTCAAAGTTGCTGAGAATTTTAATGGTTATATAATTGATACTTGCTCGTTCTATCAGCTATTTCTAAACCGGAAATCTAAGCAAACCTTGCATTCTGAAAGTAAATATTTATTCCTGATTCTCACTATAAACACCGTAGAAATTCGGAATTAAGCGATCGAAATCGAGCCCAAAATTACTGAATTTAAAAGGATAAAATAATATTAAAGCTGGTCTTTATTTCAAAAATCGAACAGACCTCTAAAAATGTTGGCAAATTTTAAATAATGAAGTTATCTGGATGTAGTTAAAAGGAAAGCAGGTCTTTCATATACAACTAAGATTAATATTATGCATTCGAGATTTTCTCTTCCATTAAGTAACTTACTAAAGCTGTACCGTTTCCCCTGTAGTTTTTAGGGGCATGTAAATTTATAATGAAATAGACAAGTATTGAGTCATTTCAAATGTTATTGAAAATATATTCCAAATATCAAGCAGAAATTAAATAGTACACTTTTAAGAATGATATGAAACCGCGAGGTAGTGAAACAAAATATTCGGAAGATATTAATCCACTTGACAAATACTATAAACAAGTTCAGGAAGAACGAGTAAGACCCAATAATTCATCAAAATAGGGACTTTTTTTAAGTCATAGGTGTTGGATACTTTGTTTTCAAGCGTTTAAATCAATCTTAAAATGATTTGACAACGGTTCCACGTTTAGCAGGTTACTGATCTGTGTTCTTGTTAATTCTGGAAAATATTAAAGAATGGTCAACTTGACCGGAGTTTAATAAGTGTTCGAAAACAAAATTGCTGATTGTTTTACATTAGAAGTGTAATGTTAGAAGTGCGTTTTAGGGCCAAACATAAACTCCTGTATATGAACAACTAAACTGATAAATACTTGTTGAGTTTGTCCAAGAGGTAGCTCATGCTTAAAACATCCATCGATTGGCTTTTTGACTGAAGAAGATAATATCGAAGTTCCAAAGAGTAGATATCTGAACACACTATTCTTTTAGATCTCTGCTGCAGCATCGAATTCGAATTATACGTTGAAAAACGAAGTTTCTTTGGTACTGTATTTGTTTTATCCCTGATCCATATACTATGGCCAAGAAACAACTAGAAATTGAGTAGAAACTGACTGAGCGTTAAGTTCTTGAAAAATTTTAAACTATAAACATAAAAAAGCATGGAAAAATCTATCTTCCATTAAGTATCTCTCGCCGACTAGATATAAAAGTTGAACTTATTGCTCCCATCTTTGATTAAATTTTACATCCGAACATTCTTAAGTTTATTCAGTGTATGTTATAACACAAATCCACAATAAAAGGAGAAAAACTGGGATATATTAAAAGAGGACAATGACATTGTAGTTCGTCTTTATCTCATAAGCCGACATCCAGAATTTTGTATACATAATAATATGGTAACTACTACCACCAAGCTTAATCAATGATCCAGTTTTCGAAACATTAATTTACAGATCTGAAACGAAAATCTGGAACTTAAAGTCAGTATACACACTTCTGGAATACTTTCTCAATAAATTAAATTTGATGGCATGTAAAATGCTATGTTTATACATAAATAGTAAAGAACAAAATTTTCAAAATAACATGAATTCATTATATTTCAAGGCTTCTTACCAGTTTATGAATGACCATGCTAACAGCTTGGCATCCTAGAAATACACTGCAAATAGTTCTACGTACATTTTTACTTCAAAAAGTAAACCACAAAAGAATATTATTTCAGATCTCTACTGATTCAATAATCATAGTATTGTATATTACCTAAGCTATTTTATTTTTTGATATAATTTAGAGCGTACTACTGATAACTGGTAAGTAGTTTAAAATATTTTACATATTTTGAACATCAAATGTGAGATTTGACTTAATTATATAGTATTACCTATAATTTAAAATAGATTAAACCGAATGAAGTAAATGAATCGAAAAATCTATTCAATTTATTTTACGAGAGAATAAAAATGCGTAACTCCTACTGTACAACGTCAAATCAATCCTTTTATAAAAAATTAGACACTATCAACAATATAAGTAATATGTTGAATAATAAAATTCCAATGAGTGATGTAAATATAGATGATTATAGTTTAAGAATGGTCAATTCAATATCATCAACAACGTTACCAAAAACAATACTAAATTCTTATGATAATAATATCAATAATAATGATAACAATGTGGATACAACAATGGCAACAACATCAGTGCATACTACTTCTATGCTTGTTAACTGTAGTAGTTTTGTTGAACAACAACAAAACGAACTAAATAATGATAATGGGATAACTAGAAACAATTCAGTAGACTCAGTAAAACGTTCATCTTGCGACAAATCCAAAATAAATGAAAGTTCAATAAATGGATTCAAAGAAAAACAACATAATATCTACAATATGACTCCAGCATTAAAACAAGTAAATAAATTAATGTTTTCAATTTATTATATTCTTTGGAAGACTGCGAATAATTAAAACAGTTTTTGTTTAAGTTTCCAAATTACTACTCTTCTAAAAAGATGACGATGACTATTAAATGTTCGTACATAAGATGGAATATTGTTTTGTATAATGTTATGTACCACGACACACAATGCTGACTAGTGTTGGATACGGATGTAAGAAAGTTAGGGGTAGCCAAACCAAAACGTGGGATTAGTCCATAGATTCATTAACAACTAGATGCAGACTACTTGGTTGGGGTCCACGCGACTATCGTAACCAATGGTTGGAGACTATGATTTTCATGGCTCAGAATCGATCACAGTAGTGTAGGTGTATGCACTCTCTGTCTTCCCGTAAACTATGAGACTAAAATTATTTCATATCTTCTTTCTACGAACTAACTTTATTCCTGTACTATATCCTTATATGCAATCTTTCCTTTATACATTAAACCACTGAGTTAATTGCATCTATGAATTTGGTGTTCATCTTGCTGTGCTAATGAGGTATAGGAACTTGGACCGATGCATATATCTGCCTGTTCCCACGTTGTAACTAACTGACTGACTGAAGTAGACAAACTCCATTTCGTAAGAAATTTAGAATAACTATTTCACTAATTAAAAACATTGTTCTATAAAAAAATCTCTCGAGTTTGGACATTCTCTATAATTTTGTAATGTTTTGTGATTATTTGTGTTTATCAGTCAATAGTGAACTCTCAGTTGGATAATTAAGCTGGAAATATTTCATATTCGAAATCTTGATCATTTGAACAAAATGAAATGTCATCAAAATATTGATTCCTGTTTTTATTTAGTTTATTAATTTCAAAATAAAAACTTAGGGATTAAATAATTAATGCATTAAGTGTAGTAAGTCTAGTTATTCCGTTTAAGAGTAATAATTAATTAGTTGAACGTTTAGATTTGATAGATTTACAAGTTCATTTGTATTTTCGCTACAGATTATTGAACTCAATCACATCTTAACATTCGTAAGCTAGAATACTAGTTCATCGTTTTATACTAAAACGAACTAAATACTATGTTGATGATGGAGTTTTGTTCTCTGAGGTGGATGGTTTGGTCGTGGAGCTTTCATCGTTCTTCTGAACGAAATCAACAAAAACTTCCGATTTCTATCTCAGCTACAAATCTTCTCCACCATCTCAAAACTGAATACTATTTTAAATCAAGAAATTCAGTCAGTAACATATCTATATGTTCTAAAATCCCATTATGTCAACTTTTTTAATTTATTGATATAGCTACAAGTCTCTGAAGAGGATGATTAATCGTAATAATCATGTAGTTTTATAACTAATAGTCTCTGTTGAAAATACAACGAATTATATACTACTAACTAGTAATATTTTACTTAATATTTTAGTTAGAAAATTTAAAAAATGGAATACAATCAAACGTAGACAAGTTATCTATACAAAATCAGCTTTTGAAAGATTGGCCATCTATACTAAAACGATTAATTTATCAGGCAATAACCGTCAATCACACAACTACTAATAAACTTTAATTAAAAACAATCATACTGTGGGATTTATGTTGTTGTGTATGAGTAAGTGTATACAATATTACCTGTTCTGTAGAGCATCTTATTTCATTATATTTTTTCTACACAGAATGCAAATTTTTCAGAACTACTTAGTGATTCTTAAGCCTTATGAATTATTTATGTATAAACCTTTTTTCAAAAAGTGTTCCGTTCTATAGTGATGTTTGTTTAATTGAAATATATATTTAATTGAGCAGAGATGGATAGTGGCTAGCAGTGGAATCCAGGACGCGCGTTTCGTCACAAGCCACTATCCATCTTTGCTTAAAAAGCTTTTGACTTAAGGCTATATCGAGGCAATCCGCACAGGATACACATATACCAACATAAGACCGATCAAATGCAGTCCTAAATAACAATGAGAAGTGAATATATAAAATTAGTTTTAAAAAATTCATTTATTAATGTATTTGATGCATGTTCAGAGATAATAATTCAACAAGGGATAAAAATTATGATCATGATAGTTACATTATATACGGTAATGGGGATAGAAATTCCAAAATAAAAAAAATGATTAAAACAAATTTAGTTACAAAAATATTTCCACAGTTGTCAAGTCACTATACTGATAGATGTTTTGATCTAGATGACAGGGACCCATAAAGAGTAGTAAGAAATTAACACATATTCCTGTCTATTAAATCAACATAATATCAGGGGCTTAGTAATAACATGTGTATTTCTATTTGACGACGTTGAACTGTTTCCTTATTGACTTTTGTTTGATTTGGTACTAAAGTTTTCGGTGAGAAAATGTGAGATTCTATACCAAGGCGTCCTAGTCCTTGAAAGTGATATCAACCTACTATATGTGTAATCGTTTACGGAGGTATCATCCAAGCAATAATTCCTTTGTTCAATGCTATGTTTAGTGTAGTACGAACTTCTTATATTATTTAAACAATATCCTCTCAATTTTCATAAACATATTGTCTAATAACTACAATGAAATCCTCTGTACATTACCAGTCTGTAGATACATGTATTCAGTTGTCTCGTTAATTTTACTTTAAGAACCGTTTGTTGCATAATATGTGTGGCAGATAAAGTGTTCTGGAGCTTTTGTATTTTTATGTATATAGTATTATAATCAGTCTACATCTGATTCCGCCAGAAGAAATACAATTAGTAAAGTATGGATGAAGCTAGTAAATTATATTTGATAAAACAATCCAGTTAATTTAAATGTTATCTTACTTAATTTATTCAACGCCTTGAAATTACTATTCAATGGATAAATCATAACATTTATAATTCTTGATCAACCAGTTCTATTCACAATACAATCACACCAAATGTACATCTCTCAGTTTGTAAACAGATATTTATTCAATACTAAAAGCAGCATAATCTATAACTACAATACATATATATAAACTGAAATCGCACAATAGTTAGTTCCTTAAAAAAAACCAAATCTTAAAGTTGACCTCTCCCCCTCAATATTACTACTGTGGTGTGAGCTACTTATATTGATATAAGTAGTATATAACGTGAGTTAAAAGAACGTAATGCCTGGCAGCGGAAGATCAAGAAAGGTAGAGCGAGAACACAATGGTATTTGTTAGAAAATGCATGAACAATGGAATGGTGTTTGCAACAGAAACAGTACAGTTTGGTTTGATGCATGAATATTTTGTAAATTGACGATTTACTATATGATATTCAGATCTTGTTAAGATAGTCTGTGATTGTTGTGTTAAATACATCCGTTTGTTCCCACCCGTGTTCTTGTTCACTACACTACTTAATCACAGTAATTAAGACAGAAAAATCACTTCTTTTCTAAACATATACATATATTTATATAATTTATATTTATATTCAATAATAAGAAAGAGACTTAATTCAGATCAGTATGATTGTTATATATACATACATATATATATATATATTATAATATTGATGAAATATACATACAATTGTTTCGATGCATAAAAATAACCACAATAATACTAATTAATAATAAAAACAATATTCTTCTTCTTCTTCTTTTTTTCTTTAATGAAGAAATGCAGGAAATTATTTTTTTTCTTTTTTTTTAAAAAAAAGAGAAGATAAAAGAAAACAGAAGGAAACAAAGAGAGAGAGAGAAAGAGAGAATGATGAATATTTTTATAATTTTTTGTACAGAATAAAAAACACAATAAATTTCAATGAACTGAGTTCTTTATTATTTTTTTCTCTCATTATATAAATAATTTTATATTTTTAAAAAATCTAACCAATAATTACTGTGTATATATATAGATGGATGGATGAATAAACAACCGGTTAATCATTAAATAAATAATTAATAAATAAATAAAAAAGAAACACAATAAAAGAGGAGAATGTAACTGACTGACGGATTAACTGGATCATTGAAATAGTAGAATACACAAATACATACATGTATATAATATATATATAACAGAAATTAAAAGTATCTTTTTTTTCATATAAAGAGATGCATAGGAATAGATTAATTTAAATATTTTCTACAAGAATAACTGCCACAATTGCACGGTAATTTATCAGATTCTTTAGGAAAACGATAATCATATGTCAATTCTTCACCAGGATATATTCTGTAAATAAATAAATAAATAAGTAGTATATGAATGGAAATATGTATTAACAACAAAACAATTAAAAATGTCATAAACAGAAACGTTTAATTTATCGATCAAAATACATTAACAACAAACAAACACATGTTAGGTTGAAGCTAACACGAGTTCACTTGATCTGCGAACAAGAACAAAGACTCAATGACCAAGATCAGTAAGCTAGTTATTTGATGCATCCCAGCCCCGCTAACTAGAAGGAGAAGTCCAAGATTGGAATGGGGAAGTGTATTCTGCAAACAGTCAGAAACGAGCGATAACAACAAACACAATTCAAAACATATACATACAGTACAAAACCGTCCTTGGGGAGAGTTACCAAATAACATACTAAAAGACGCAACGGACCAATAGCATTTAAGATATTTCCCAGTGGGAAATACGACATAGTGACAAGAGTGCCTTTGGCGCGAAAACAAGGAAAGTCAAATTTCCTAAATAAAATTACAAAAGTCACTAGATCTTCACTGTTCATGTACAGAAAAACATTTAATTGGAAATATTAGATGAAACGGATACAAGAATAAAGACCTAGACAATATTATCCATATAGTTATTTTCTTATATTCTCGGTGAATTGTGTGAAGTAAACAAACTTTTAGCTAACTGACTTATTTGGAAGGATTACTCTTAAAAATGAGGCAAGATATTATGAAAATGTTAAACACAAATAAAAATTTACTGAAGTTATAGTAATCCGATGCCCAGCAATGACTAGCTTCGTAATGCATATTCCAACGTTCTAATGTGGAGCTGTGATCTAAGCCGAGACAGTAGATCATCAAATCAGCTGCCTACACACACTCTCCAGTTGTTATAACAAAAAACTTCTCGACATCTAAGCTTTATTTCCAAAAAATCTTCATATAAATCAATAATAAGGAAAGTAGATTTTCTAAATAGTAACGTATACATGCGTATTACTTACTTTCGTTGGGCCAATATAACAATATGCTTTTTATCATCAATCGACACAACTTTAGCATAACAATTAGGCTAAGTAAAAAGAAAGATGAAAAGCACTGAGATAAAAAAAAACACGGAAAAGACATAATTCAATAATAAAAAATACCATAACAATATCATCATTCGAATCAATAGTAAATACTATCTCGACTCCATAGAGACTGTTTAATAGTTAAAGACAATTATGTCTTGTCTGTGTGTATTTAATATCGTTATTGTGCGCTTCATTATTATTGTTCAGAATTTGTGTTGAGAGATTCAGGAAAATAAAAATAAATCACAACTTGAGTTTATATTTAGTGGCCCATTATCTGGCTTCATTTAGATTGTTTCTAATTGCTAACGATTAAGCCAGGCACTTAGAATTCGTTTATCGAATGAATGAAGTTCGAAATGTTCATCGTTTGTGTAGCTTTGCAGGTTAGGTTTATTTAGAAGTCTGATTTACCACTTGAGTAGTGGTATGATGATATTATCGATTGAGTAAGCTACGTTGAGTGAGTTCATCGAAAGTATGGAGTGCGGACGGTTATTCATTGACGTAGTTTGATGCGTTAGGTTCATCATTGGCGGGCTCATCACTGTTGTGACCCTAGATCTATTCGGCTTACTCGCCTTCACCGCACGTCATTTTGTTTTGCTTTGCTTTCCGATCAACGATTGTACGAAATATACGTGTTCAAAAAACCATTATTGTATTTGACATACGACCAAATTGGAGTCAGATAATGGGACACTAAATATATACATATTTGTAGATGATATCCTATGATGAGTACTAAAATTATAATTCATAAATGAATTCATTTTTGTGAACGCAACTTTTCATTATAATGTATCAGGAAATCTTAATAATTTATAAAGTAATCTGAGGAACAATTCCTATTTGTTATGCATAAGTTGTAAGTGAATAGTATATTGAAAATTGTTAGAAAGCTAACTAGAATATATTTAAACATTATGGATTTGACAGCATACACCGACTGAGACGTTTTCATCAAATGTACATTAAGTTGTGGAAACATTTATTTCGTGAAAACAAATACAATTCTATACAGACACTTTTAAAACGATGGACGAATTCAGTCAATTATAAGTAACACAGAACTAGTCATATATGTACATCGGTTCCATACTAGCGAACTGAGATGAAATGGTCAAGATAAATTGCAGAATAGTTAAAGTAGTAACAGTAGTAATAGAAAATATGATTTGAGAGAAAAGATTGAATTCACAATTTCTAAACTTAGGATTTGGGTAGAAACAGAGAGTATATGCATCTTCGTCACTGTGATCGACTCTGAGTCGTATATCACATAATATTTTTAATCAATGATGACATTAAGTGTGAATAAATTAAACTGGAAAAAAGGATCTTCGCGAGAAGCACCACCACAAAAATACCCGCATTTTACGTGCTGTAAAGCAAATAATTTTAACAACAATTATACTGACTTCA